AGAGTGCTTCTAGGTTACTCCATCCTGGAAGGACTGGCCTTAGCAGACATGATTCATGGCTTAATTCATGATATCAGGAACCTCTCGTTCTCCCACACTTGCATTTCTTTTCCTTTGAGAAAACGTTTTCTTTATTTTCTTAAATGTATGTCAACAGGTGTCAGGGACAATATTGATGGATCTTGAGAGTGTTATGCTAAGTAAAATGTTAGTTAGAAAAGAACAAGAATTGTATTATTTCACTTATATGTAGGGTATGAAGCAAAAACCAACAAGTGAAGAAATAAAAACAAGCTTGTAGATACAGATAACAGAATGGTGGTTACCAGAGGGCAAGACACAGGTTCAGGGACAAAGAGGATAAATGGGGTGGAATTCAAGGTTACAGAAGGAGGCCAGGCTTCAAGTGGTGAGAACAAAGAAGAGTATAGTTGTCATAAACTTGCATACACTTGGATTTTTGGTAAATAATTATTTCATTTCTATTGTGTGTAGCTACAAAAATGCATCTAAACTGCATAAAAAACATAACTCATATATCTTCTGTGTGTGATATTTTCCAAAATCACATTCAGAATGGGACTTAAATGGTCACTTCCATACATTTATATCAATATTATTATTCATAACAATGTGTAGATAAGAAGTGTTTATTTTTTATTTTTTTTAGAAGTGTTTATTTTGATTTTAATTTCTTCTGAGCTATATTACTCTTTTTTAAGTTAATGGTCTTTTTATTAGAAAAAAACAATAAAAGACTAGCATTTACAACTTGGAATGGACATAAATTGTAATTTCTTAAACAGCAATGCTGATGGTTGTGCTGAAGCCCACGGCCACAGCCTACCTCTGCTGGTCCCAACTCATGGTTTAGAAGGTTTTACAAACAGAGTCCAAAGATGCTCCCTTGGTAAAATTTCTTTTAAAAAATTTGTGTGGATGGTGATAGCCTGACACCCATTTTGCTCTAGTATAATGCAGACAATGCTAAGCCAACATTGGTGGGCATGCCACCAGGAACCATCACCGTAACCACAGCCTGAGGCACGTGGAAGTACAAGAGGGACCATCCTGTTGGTGGGGCTACATCTATAGACAGTTTATCCTTCACCCATTTTTCTACACACATCCTGAGGTAAACCAATTTCAAATGGGTTTGCTTTCAGACAACCAGCTATGACAGTACACCCATTTTGCTCTAGTATAATGCAGACAATGTTAAGCCAACATTGGTAGGGATGCCACCAGGATGTGTCACCGTCACCACAGCTTGGGGCACGTGGAAGTACAAGAGGGACCATCCTGTTGGTGGGGCTACGTCTAGACAGTTTGTCCTTCACCCATTTTTCTACACATATCCTGAGGTATACCAATTTTAAATGGGTTTGCTTTCAGCAAACCAGCTATGCGCTGAGCTCAAAAAGTTCGCCATCACTGGCTTATACTAACAAACGGAACTAGAACCCATTAGAATAGGTCTTGAATTTGTTTTTTCATTTTGTGTTTTGAATACAAATGCCTGACTGTGTTCAACTGTCAAGCCACATGCATGAAAAACTGTCCAGGCCAAACAATGCACTAATCATTAGCAAATGGAATCGCAAGGAGTCCACTAAGTACTTCCTTATCATTAAGGTAGTACAAGGATTTATACTGTCAAACTGATATGTGGTTTGATATCTAGGGGAAACGACCACCAACCATTTCATGCAGATTTTTTGCATGTGGACCAAAGGTACTCTTGACATTAACTTTTGCTATAGAGAAACAGAATGAGTAAATTATTATTATTATTATTATTGCAAAAGGTAAGTAAAATATTTAATTTGATTCTTCTGAGGGTGTGAGAGGAATTGAAGTAGGTCTTTATTTTGTCCTCATCATCTGTATGAATTCTTTATAGTTGATTTGTCCACCTCCATCAATATCTCCTTCTCCGATGATTTCATCTACTTCGTCATCTATTAGTTTTTCTCCTAAGTTTGTCATAACATGCATATCTACCACATAAGGCCCCTCTAAGACTGGCAGACAGAGCAGCTCTACCTGTTACATAGACACAAACACAGGGAGGTAGCCAGAATGAGAAGACAAAAAAAGTCCCAAGAACAACTCCAGAAAAAGAACTAAGAAAAATAGAAACCAGTAATCTAAATGCAGAATTCAAAACACTGGTTATAAGCACGTGGGTATAAAGCACAGCATAGGAAACTCTCACCATTGATGTTTCTATCTCTCCCTCTCCCTTCCTCCCTTAAATAAATAAAAAGATATTTTAAAATATACATATATACTAGTAGGCATGCTATTTATACAGCTTTGTCAGGAAATTGCAGTTAAGATTCTCTAAGTCCGTCCCCCCAGAATCACTGGGGGAAAGGACTTGATGATAGACACATGCCCAGTAAGATGTGGATGACAAGGGAAGATGCTTACCTGTCAGTCATATCTGGGAATGAGTCAGTTGCCAGAATAGAGTGGTGACTGAGAGCTTGGGGAAGATTTGATATTTAAATTCCTGAACAAAGGAGCCTTCTCTCCCTCTTGCCCTTCCTGCTTGCCTGTGGTTCTGAGACTCCTATTGCAGGGGCCACACTCCCCTGCATTCACCCATGTGGCTCAGGGGCACATGGGAACCACACAATGGACTGATGGAATGAATCTAGCCGGATGCTCTGCCGACTTGCTGAACCTCCAGCTGCATCCTTATCAGGGCTGGTTTAAATATAATGGGATTTTACAAACCCAGAAAATGTAATTCCACGCCAATAAAAACCATTCACTCTTCTGTGTGGATTTTAGAAAATTCATTTTCTGAAGATATCACAAGAGCCACCCACTGATTCGACCCACTGATTTCTCCCTCAACATCTGTATCTTTCCTTTTTCTAGCCATCATAGTCAAAAATTCTGGGAAGTCAATGGTGCCATCACCATCAGCATCCACTTCATGGATCATATCCTGCAATTTGGTTTCTGTTGGGTTCTGACCCAGGGACCTCATGATAGTGACAAGTTCTTTTGCTGTGATGGTGCCATCACTTTTTTTGTAAAATAGGGACAAGGCTTCCTTGAATTCAGCAATCTGTTCTTCAGTCAGTTGGTCAGCCATGGTGGGAAGGATGGAAGGAAGAGCAGAGGATCTAGGTGGCTGCACCAGCACCAGGGCTGTGGTGCATCCTCCAATATGCCTCCTGCACTTCCACCCTACTGGAGACTCCCAGCCCAAATGCCCAAGGTATGTTACTATTGACCATCTCCTTTCTCTTTCCTTATACAAGATTGTTTATGAAAAAAAAAGATGAAATCAAGGTTGAGGTATTTTTCATGTTTATCTAGATTTAAGGAAAAAAATGGAACCATCATGCATAGCTGTGATTTCTATCATGATCTGTTATTTTTATATGTAATGGCAGAGTTTGTAGCTTTGTCTTGTCTGCAAGCTTACCAAGACTGCTTTTTGCATACGATTGAGAATTGCTTTGCCATCCTTTCCTGTTACCATTTCCATAAAAGTGTGTACTAGCCTGCTGTCACTCTTTAGTCTGTTGCCACTAAACACGTACATTGCTCTGAGATATAAATCTTCATCTTCAGGGGTATAATGGGGTGTAGATGGGTAATCTAAACTTTTTAAGATGAAAAAGCAAGTAAAAACCTATTCCATAAAATCTCATGGCATGCTATATACCTGAAAAAGAATTCTTATGGAACCCCTTCATCATGGTAGCAGCTGTGATTGCAATAATTTTTAAATGATGTATTCTACCAAAAGGGGTTGATCACATACTTTATGCAAAATTAGAGTTCCCAAATATGTTTCCTTGTCTTATTTTGTCACCAGATGAATGAAAGCGTATCTGATGCTCTTTATAATGGCTAAAACAATTCCATGCACTTCATCATTGTGAAACAGCTTCTGCCCTTGAAGCCTAGCCTGAATCACTATGATCCACACGGTGGATGCATTTCTTCCCAATAACAAGCTATAACTACATGGAACTGGCATTGCAGCTTTTAAAAAATGTATAGTAATTCTAGACGGAAAGTACCTCAACATAGTAAAGGCCATATATGATAAACATTCAGCCAATTTTATACTCAATGGCACAAAAATGAAAGCTTTTCCTTTAAAATTAGGAAAAAGACAAGGATGCCTATTCTCACCACTCTTATTCAACATAGTTCTGGAAGACCTAACCAGAGCAATAAGTCAAGAGAAAGAAATAAAGGCATCCAAATTGGGAAGGAAGAAGTAAAGTGTCACGTTTTGCAGATGACATGATTCTGTACATAGAAAACCCTAAAGATTCCACAAGAAAATTATTAGAAACAATAAACAACACAGCAAAGTTGCAGGATACAAAATCAATGTACAAAAATACACTGCCTTCTTGTATACAGTGAACCTTAAGGAAAAGAAATGAAAAAATAATTCCTTTTGCAATTGCAAACAAAAGAATAAAATACCTAGGAATAAACTCAACAAAGAACATGAAAGAGCTATACACTGAAAACTACAAAGCATTATTAAAAGAGATTGAAAAAGACACAACAAAATGGAAAAATTCCCCGTGTTCATGAATTGGAAGGATCAACATAGTTAAAATGGCCATATTACCCAAAGCATTATACAGATTTAATTTAATTCCCATCAAAATCCCAATGTCATTCCTTAAAGAAATAGAACAAAAAAAGTCATCAACTTTGTATGAAACTCCAAAAGACCCTGATAGCTAAAGCAATCTTGAGAAAAAAGAATGAAGCCAGAGGTATTACACTACCTGACTTCAATTTATACTACAGAGCTATGATAATCAAAACAGCATGGTACTGGCAGAAAAATGGAAATGGAACATAACAAAGAGCCCAGATATAAAACCACATGTTTATGGGCAGAATATGTTCACAGAGTAGCCAGAAACACACAATGGAGTAAAGAAAGCCTCTTCAATGAATGATGCTGGGAAAATTGGAAAGACACATTCAAAAGAATGAAACTGGATTACAATTTGTCCCCATGTACAAAAAATAATTCAAAATGGATCAAATACATAAAAATAAGATCTGAAACAACAAATTACATAGAAGAAAGCATAAATACTACACACATGGACCTTGATCATAGAGAACCTGCTGTGAACTTGACCCCAAAGGCAAGAGAAGTAAGCGCAAAAATAAATGAGTGGGACTCTATCAAACTAAAAAGCTTCTGCACAGCAAAGAAACTGACAACAAAACAAAGAGGCAGCTGACTGAATGGGAGATGATATTCACAAACAATAGCTCTGTCAAAGATTTAATATCCAAAATACATAAAGAACTCATAAAACTCAACACCAAACAAACAACCCAATTAAAAAATGGGCTGAGGACCTGAACAGACACTTCTACCAAGAAGACGTACTAGTATGAACATCCAATAAGTATGTGAAAAGATGTTCAACCTCATTAGCAATTGGGAAAATGCAAGTCCAAACTACAATGAGATACCAGCTCACATCTGTTAGAATGGCTTTTATCAATAAGACTAGAAGCCTGTTGCAGGAAGATTCCTGCAAGATTAGGGCTTTCTTGGGCCTATTCCTGTAAGAATAGGGCTTCCCTCCCATCTCCGCGGCCTTGGCTCTGCTCCCGTGTCCGCTGCCTCAGCTCCACTCCAGTCTCTGCTGCCTCAGCTCCCTCCCTTCTCCTCCACTTTGCTTCCTTCTTCAGAGCTTAGCTTCCTTCTACGCTGTCTTCAGTCTTCACTCTGCACCTGCATATGCAAATTAACCACCATCTTGGTTGGGTTAATTTGCATACTTGCTCTAATTAGCTGGTGGGCATAGTGGAGGGATAGTCAATTTGCATGTTTCTCTTTCATTAGTGTAGATAAGTAAAAGCAAGAGTTGGAGAGATAGTGGAGAAAAGGTAACCCTCCTTCACTGATGGTGGGAATGTAGGCTGATAGAGCCACTATGCAAAAACAGTCTGGCAATTCCTCAAAATATTAAGAATAGAGCTACCATATGACCCAGCAATCCTTCCCCTGGGTATATGCCTGAAAAACTCAAAAGCATATTTGCATCCCTATGTTCATTGCAGCATTATTCACGGTGGCCTAGATATTCAGACAACCAAGGTATCCTTTGATAGAGGACTCGATAAAAAAGATGTGGTACATATACACATCTGGAATATTACCCAGCCATAAGAAAAGATACACCTTTAGAATATTATGTTAAGTGAAATAAATCAGGCAGAAAAAGCTAAAAACCATATGATTTCATTCATATGTGGGATATTAAACTGAAACTCGTGGACAAAAAAACCACAGGGTGGTGGTTGCCAGAGGGAAGGGGGTGGAGTCGGGTGGGGTGGGGTAAATGGAGTCCAGGGTGGTGGTTGCCAGAGGGAAGGGGGTGGCGTCGGGTGGGGGGGGTAAATGGAGCTTTATATAGGGTGACATAAAATGATTTGACTTTAGGTTATGGGCACACAGTGCAATATACAGATCTTGTAACATGGAAATTTATACCTGAAACTTATTAACCAATGTCATCCCAATAAATTGATTATGGCAATATTCTGTTGTTAATAAATTTGAATCAGTATGAGAATGTGATGCGTTTTGCTTTTAAAACATTTCTAGAGAACTATTGGGTTTTCTCTATCTCTTCACTCATAAACTGGAAAAAAATAAAATACTTCTGTTTGGTTAAGGACACTACTTTTTTTTTTCATTTTGAAAAATATAATAAGGTAATAAAGGCGATGTGTCTATTACATGTCCAGTCTTTGTTTTGGGGTGTATAACTTCAACAGAGAATGTTCTTGCTGCATTGATAGAATCATAAATTTATTCTGAAAGTGTTCACACTTAACTATGAATACAAGATCCACTCCTGTAAGAATGGTCCATATCTTTGCATAGAGAAAGTTAAGTGTGCCTATTGCTGAGTTTTAGCACTTCCTACATTCAATTTTCTTTTGGCCCCAACCACATCCTATCTAAAAAAAGAGAAACATGGTAATTAGCCATACATCTGCTACCCTTCCCATTGGCTAATCAGGGCAATATGCAAATTAACTGCCAGCCAAGATGGCGGCCGGCAGCCAGGCAGCTTGAAGCGAACATGAGGTTTGCTTGCTTCAGTGATGGAGGACTCCAACGTTCCCCGCCTGCCGCTGCCGC